GAGGAGAGTGTCTGGGAGACAGTAATAGTGAGGAGAGTGTCTGGGAGACAGTAGTGAGGTGAGTATGTCTGGGAGACAGTAGTGAGGTGAGTGTGTCTGGGAGACAGTAGTGAGGTGAGTGTGTCTGGGAGACAGTAGTGAGGTGAGTGTGTCTGGGAGACAGTAGTGAGGTGAGAGTGTCTGGGAGACAATGGTGAAGAGAGTGTCTGGGAGACAGTAGTGAGGTGAGTGTGTCTGGGAGACAGTAGTGAGGTGAGTGTGTCTGGGAGACGGTAGTGAGGTGAGAGTGTCTGGGAGACGGTAGTGAGGTGAGAGTGTCTGGGAGACAGTAGTGAGGTGAGAGTGTCTGGGAGACAGTGAGGTGAGTGTGTCTGGGAGACAGTAGTGAGGTGGGAATGTCTGGGAGACAGTAGTGAGGTGAGAGTGTCTGGGAGACAATAGTGAGGTGAGAGTGTCTGGGAGACAGTAGTGAGGTGAGAGTGTCTGGGAGACAGTATTGAGGTGAGTGTGTCTGGGAGACAGTAGTGACGCGAGAGTGTCTGGGAGACAGTAGTGAGGTGAGTGTGTCTGGGAGACAGTAGTGAGGTGTGTCTGGGAGACAGTAGTGAGGTGAATGTGTCTGGGAGACAGTAGTGAGGTGTGTCTGGGAGACAGTAGTGAGATGAGTGTGTCTGGAAGACAGTAGTGAGGTGAGTGTGTCTGGGAGACAGTAGTGAGGTGAGTGTGTCTGGGAGACAGTAGTGAGGTGTGTCTGGGAGACAGTAGTGAGGTGAGAGTGTCTGGGAGACAGTAGCGAGGTGAGTGTGTCTGGGAGACAGTAGTGAGGTGATAGTGTCTGGGAGACAGTATTGAGGTGAGTGTGTCTGGGAGACAGTAGTGACGCGAGAGTGTCTGGGAGACAGTAGTGAGGTGAGTGTGCCTGGGAGACAGTAGTGAAGTGAGTGTGTCTGGGAGACAGTAGTGAGGGTAGTGTCTGGAAGATAGTGAGTGAAGGGAGTGTGTCTGAGAGGCAGTAGCGAGTGAGAGTGAGAGTGAAAGGAAGAGTGAGGGTAAGAGTTGAATCAGTAACTGTGGGCACAGTAATTTATGTGCGATAGAGCAGGTGGGGCTGGCAGACACTGGTGTTTTCTTCTGTACACCCTGTGTTGTTTGTTGTCCCTTGACAGGTCAGGTGATGGTCCTTGCTAGCAGGGAAGCTAGCAGCAGAGGCTGCTGCTGTTAGTTATGCTGGTGGCAAAGCCCTTGCTGGCAGGGATAATAGCATAAAAATCTTCTAGCAAGGGTAGTAGTGTAGCCCCTGGAGTTGGGTGATGTGGCTGCCGGCCCTGCTGCCAGGGCAGGTTGTGGTAAAGCTCATGGATTACATTGTGGCACAGTGTCGTTGACATAAACTTGTGTATTCCTGAGGATGAGTGAAGTTGATATTTGAGAGTGACCAACCTAGCATGGCGTCAGTCTTGATTGTTGTGCTGGCTAGGTGCTCCTCCTGGTGGGTGGTATACCTAGACAGATATACTTCTAAAAATAGAAGTATACCTCTCTAGGTATACTTCTATTTCTAGAAATAGCCTTTATCCCTTATACCCGGGTACGGTATACCCAGTAAGAACAAATATTGAAAGATAATTGTTTTATATCAGATTTTTTGGTTGATATTGAAGAATGTATTAAATAACAATCATCGAAGTGATTGTGTTGGTCATCACAGTAGCAAGTTGAAAATGGAAGCATCACATTGATGATCTTAAACCTCTTATATTAAAAGTACTCAGTAAACAAAAGTGTCTAGTGTTTTGTAGACAACACACAGTGTGATGTTTCATTCTGTTAAGAATGATGTACTTAATACAGACAGGTATGTATATATTGCTCTATGTACATAGTTCGGAGCGATGTTTTGTGGCACTTGTCATCAACGAAGATGGGAGGTTTGGTACTGAAGAGCTCTTGATTCAAGGAATTTGAGAAACCCTTCCCTGAGATTAAATCTTATATCCCTCTCATTTCCTAGGTGAGTGCTTGACCTTCCCTACGGGTTTAGTTCTTACCTATAATTATATAGCACTTTTATATATGTGTGTGTTGATGTTTTGCAACAGCCATGAATGGACTTTAATAATTTGTTCTCTTAAGTCTATTAGAGTTTCTTTCATTCCTTTTATTTCGACTGAGTGGAATAATGTTGATGTTTGTGTGAGTCCTTGTTCTAGTATGTGTCCTTTATTGTTTCGTTTGTCCATTTATGTGTGTTATAATGTTTGGTTGTGTCCTTGTTCGTGTGTCATTGGTTATATTTGGTTATGTCCTGTTGTGTGTTGGTTATATGTTTGGTTGTGTCTTTTTGTGTGCTTTGGTTATATTCTGGTTATGTCCTTGTTTGTGTGGTGTGTGGTTTATATGTTTGGTTGTGTCCTTGTTTGTGTGGTGTGTGGTTTATATGTTTGGTTGTGTCCTTGTTCGTGTGGTTGTGGTTTATGTTTGGTTGTGTCCTTGTTTGTGTGGTGTGTGGTTTATATGTTTGGTTGTGTCCTTGTTCGTGTGGTGTGTGGTTTATATGTTTGGTTGTGTCCTTGTTCGTGTGGTGTGTGGTTTATATGTTTGGTTTGTGTCCTTGTTCGTCTGGTGTGTGGTTTATATGTTTGGTTTTGTCCTTGTTCGTGTGGTGTGTGGTTTATATGTTTGGTTTTGTCCTTGTTCGTGTGGTGTGTGGTTTATATGTTTGGTTTGTCCTTGTTCGTGTGGTGTGTGGTTTATATGTTTGGTTTTGTCCTGTGTTCGTGGTGTGGTGTGTGGTTTATATGTTTGGTTTTGTCCTTGTTCGTGTGGTGTGTGGTTTATATGTTTGGTTGTGTCCTTGTTCGTGTGGTGTGTGGTTTATATGTTTGGTTGTGTCCTTGTTCGTGTGGTGTGTGGTTTATATGTTTGGTTGTGTCCTTGTTCGTGTGTATATGAGGTTTATAGTTTTGTTATGTAGTCTTAACTTGATTGTTTCTCTCTCCGTATTTACCACTTTATGGTCAGGATTACTGAACTGATCTCATGGGTCAGTGCACTTCGTAAATGTCACAGCTTCCTTTCTTCCTCTTTTCCACAAATTTCTTCCTCACCTCCTTCTTTTCTTCCTTCCTCACATCCTTCCTATATTCATTCGCTCATTTCTCTGTTAGTGGAAATGCTGTAGCTCATAAGTTTGAAGTTCTACTTGGCTTTACGGGAGAAGTTTGACTTCTTTCTGCTTCAGGTATGGAGATTCGCACTTGCTCAGTGTTCTTACACACTTGCTGAAAAAAACCACCGGTGCTCTGTACTCACAATTAAGTTCACCAGTAGAGGTTTTCCTCACGTGCTTTTCTCAGATGTTAGACTCTTCTGCAGAAAACCACTCATGGTCTCATTTTCACCGAACACTGATGATAGATTCATCAGCAGAAACATGCATTTGTACTCATAGTAGAGGCCTGTGCTAACCTTCCTAGTGTGCATAAAAATGCACCTACTATACTTGGGTGAATCTTACGAAGCCGGGAAACGTACTGGCCTGCTGGTTTTACTGGAGCTCGATTGCTAGCGCATTCATCTCATACACTGAGGTCCGGGGATCGACCCCCGGTACGGTTGGAAACATTAGGACGTGTTTCGTTTAGGCACCTGTTGTCCATGTTCACCTATCAGTAAAATAGGTACCTGGGTGTTTGTCGACTGGTGTGGGTCAGATCCTGGGACAAAATTGACCTAATTTGCTCGAAATGCTCTGCATAGCAAGTGGCTTTCTATATATTAGTATGTCAATGATGTCAGCTAGGACTGTATACCTTGTACATGTACTTGTAGAAATAAAGATTAGTGTTATTACTGGTTTGCTTGTGTTCCCTGAGAATGTGATTGACACACATCACCACATCCATTGTTATGTGTGCGTCTTTCATTACACTTGAATTCTATTTTAAAATATCACGTGTTTGTGGTATTACTGCGATGTTGTTACGGTCCGACAAAAAGACATGGTGATTGAAAGAAGGAGTAGGCTGAATGTGAAGGAGGTTGCAAGAAGGTGAGGGGGTTGAATGAAAGGTGAGAGAGGTTGAATGGTAAAGAAGGTTGAAAGAAGATGAGGAAAGCTATAAGAAGAATGAGGAAAATACAGACATATTAACTAGTTAATGGTGTAGAATGTGATGGGAGAGCGGGCGTACTTCTACCTAACACACTGATGCCTTAAACATATATCATATCAGTCTTTTTTTTCACATCTGTGCTATATTGTGATTATTTTCCACGTGTAGTTGTTGCTGTTTTGACAACTGACTGGTTAAACTATTATTTAGAAATCAAACGTTTGTATAACATGTTGTTGTTGATTTATTGATTATACATAAAGTAGAGAGAATACAGGTGTGTGTGTGTGTGTGTGTGTGTGTGTGTGTGTGTGTGTGTGTGTGTGTGTGTGTGTGTGTGTGTGTGCGTGCGTGTGCGTGTGTGTTGTATCGTGGTGCTGTGATCTACCTTACACACACTCTCCACTTGAGTATCCCTTAAGTCTGTGTCACTTGTGCTTCATAACGTGTTGACTCATAATAGAAGCTGTATAACACTAATGCCATATTTGAGCATAGGTGAAGCCACATATGTGGACATGCCACGATGTGCACATTGTAATTTACAGCCTTAAAGCTGTTAGCTTACTTCAGTTCAGAACCCACTGTATCTAATTCTAAGGCATACTGCCTTCACCACCCAATGATGCTAGCTACGGCGGTCTATTAACACAGTCTTACCCATTTACTGATAGGTGAACGGAGGTCACATGTCTGGGAAGACCTGCCCACAGGTAATGGCGAGTCCAAGAATTAAGCCCGAGTTCTTTCGGTTGTGAGCTGAATGCTTTACCAGTGAGTTGTTGCAGTTACTCCGCTGCAAGTTTTGGGCGAGTGCGAGGCATGAGTGGTAGTAAAACGTAAGTAGTGAGTTAACATTAATGTGTGTTCTGTATTGTGTTACAGAGAGAAGATGTCGTCGGTGAAGGTGGCAGTAAGGGTGAGGCCCTTCAACAACCGCGAGATCGCCCGAGAATGCAAGTGCATCATTGACATGGGAGGCAAGACCACAAGTAAGTTACCTCTTCTGTTCACACACGCACACACACACACACACACACTTATGAGTGTGCTTATTAATTGGAGGCGAGAGCACAAGTCAATTACCCCCTCACACATAAGTGATAGTATTTCAGAAAGCTCTCCTCCCAGCCCTTACTGCTACCGGTCAGCTTGCCTGCTGGAGCAACCCCTGTAACCTTCCTGTGTAGCCGGCGGAAGGCTGTGGGTCATTATATGACTAAGACCCGCATCAAGAAACACTTGTCCTGTTTCCTGACAAACCTTACCTAACCTAACCTCTGTATATATGCTCACTCCACCCCACGTAATAACATTTTGTTTATTATTATTTTACCTGCAGCAGCATTTTTAGGTGAGTTTAGCATTAAATTAACGTAGATAAATATATCGCATTCACTTTAGGCTGTCAGCTTTATAGGTAATGTTTTAAGAACTTGTTTAAGCGTCCGTCACATTTTTCTTCTAGGTTAATTTTTCGGGACAATGTTTAGGGGTGTGTCTTTGTTCTATGATGCTATATATACAGTTATACCCCACTTTACGATATTTCGGCCTACGTCAAATACGCCTTTACGTCACTTTTCTAGAGTAAATTTCAGTTCAGCGAACGGTTTTACATCCGACTTTACGTCACTCAGCAACGTCACCTACGTCATAATTTTTAACTGTGTTCATTATTTTAAAAAAAATGTGACTAAAATGTGGTTTTAGTGTTTTTTTAAGGTTTATCAATAGTTATATTCTTTCTCGAGTTATTTACGCATGTTTTACGGTGTTTGTCTTCATTTCAAGGCATTACGTCCGGTTTACGTCAATGACTGGTTACGTCACGGTTCTTGGGACTAGTTAATGACGTAGGACGGGGTATGACTGTATATATTTAGTGTTTCCCAGCCTGTGTTGGGTACTGCGGCAACACTGCTATTGTCTGTATTCCACTGCTGGCGTGTGTATTCCACTACCGGCGTGTGTATCCCACTACTGGCTTCTGTATCCCACTGTGGGTGTCTTCATCCCACTGCTGGCGTGTGTATTCCACTACCGGCGTGTGTATCCCACTACTTGCTTCTGTATCCCACTGTGGATGTCTTCATCCCACTGCTGGCGCTTGTATCAAGCTGCTGCGGTCTGTATCCCACTGCTGCTGCTGTCTAGCATGTAGTTTCCTGTTGTGTTTGCAGCTTCACCAGCGACCCACTATGTTCTGTGCAGTCCAGTGCTTCACAGTTTCCCACTCTCGTGAATTCACACGCTTTTACATTGCCTTCTGTTCATCTCGTTTTTATACTTGTTTTTCATGTGGTAGAGAATTCCCTACGGTATTTTCCACTTGGTGCTAACTCATTGGAAAGAGCCTTAGTGTTAGTTATTCTCGTTATTGGGTTTTTCACTCTTGGTATTATATGGAGTGATGTCCGCACCTGGACCCGCTTGGGCTGGTCCCTTGACCCAGCACTGAGGTGTGATTACACTAGTGAGTGACGAGCCCACTGCATAGGTACATTTGTAGCCCACACAGTAAAGGGCTCCCACTCTGGGTGATTATATTGCGTCATCCACTACACAATTCTACCATACTCAGCAGCCAATTCACTACACCATTGCTGTGTAACAAACTTGCAGCAACCACCAACCTTACATAACTCCACGGGGCTTTAACCCACTGCAGCGTAATATTACAACTACCGGCGGGTATACCACGCAGCTTTCTGTATCCCACTGTGGATGTCTTCATCCCACTGCTGGCGCTTGTATCAAGCTGCTGCTGTCTGTATCCCACTGCTGCTGCTGTCTAGCATGTAGTTTCCTGTTGCTGTTTGCAGCTTCACCAGCACACCTATGTTCGTGCAGTCCAGTCTTCACAGTTTCACCTCGTACAGTTACAACACTATTTCTTGCACTTGCTGTTCATTCTCGTTTTTTAATTGTTTTTCATGTGGAAGAGAATTCTGGTATTTTCTACTTGTGTAACTCATTGGAAAGAGCACTTTAGGTTAGGTTTTTCTGTTATTTGTTTTTCTCTTGGTATTAATGATGTGAGTGTCCGCCCCTGGCACCCGCTTGGAGCTGGTCCCTTGACACAGCACTGAGTGGTTACACTGTGAGTGACGGAGCCACACTGCATGATGGTACATTTAGTAGCGCCACACAGTAAAGGGCTCCACTCTGGGTGATTATATTGCGTCACACGTAACATAATTCTACCATACTCAGCAGCCGAATTTCACTTAACCATTCTGTAACAACTTTGCAGCAACCACCAACCATTACAAAAACTCCACGGGGATCAACAGCCATGTTTCACATAACATACTACAACAGCTCCACGGGAAACACCAGCCAGGTTTAACTTACCACACTAACACGTGTGTTTTAGTGTGGTTTGTTTTAGCCAGGTTCAACTTACCATTCTAAAACAACTCTACGGTAACCACCAGCCAAGTTTCACGTACCACAGTACAACAAATTACGGTAACTACCATCTAGGTTTCATTTACCACTACAAAAAATCTACGGTAACCACCATCCAGGTTTCACTTACCACAATACAACAAGTCTACGGTATCCACCATCCAGGTTTCACTTACCACAATACAACAAGTCTTCGATAATCAGCCAGGTTTCACTTACCACAATACAACAAGTCTAAAGTGATCACCTGTCAGGTTACACTTAAAATGCTGCCCACCACTAAACTTTCTATATCAGATTGCGATCTACAGTCACCAACATTTTACATGATTAGAGCAACAACAAGGAGACCTTGTCAGACAGTAGGCTGCAAGAACAAGGATCCCAGGAAGTAACTTAAGGCAAAGATAATTATAAGTAAACAAACATTTGCAAACAAAGATGTATTAAATAAGGAAAACATGCATATTAAAAGTAATATCATCTTTATAATAAGGATATTAGTAATTATGATACTCACCTAGTTGAGGTTGCGGGGGTCGAGTCCGAGCTCCTGGCCCTGTGTGTGTGTGTGTGTGTGTTGTGTGTGTGTGTGTGTGTGTTGTCATTTGTAATGGATATATTCAAGAGTATGTGTTATAATATATATCTAACACTCAGCATGTGTGTGATAATGGATGTATCCAATGTATCACAACACCAACATACATACTCAGTTAAATTACCAACCGGTGCATGGTGTTGGTATTACTCTTGAATGTGTCGACGTGTTTTAATGGAGAAAGTCTTGTTGATAATTATGTTTGAATTACGCCATTTCAGAGGCAGTTAAACGAATATCCAACCATTTTTGTAGCCGTGGTCAGTGAAAAAGTTGCATTAACGCGTGATTAAATATGACGACTTTATTCCCCCTTCCCCCAGTTGTTGCTAGAAAAAAGAGGAAATCTGCATTAAATGTTCAGCTGCAGAGTGTGGATTACCTGCTGCATCCCCCAGGTGTTCTTCAGGGGTACTGCAACCTTTTCCCCGTGTATTTTTACTGCTGGGGTGCTCTTCAGGGAGCTGCCCTGATGTTGCTCAAGGCTCCGTACCCTGGGTATTGGAGGTACCTTGCTTAGGTCAGACCTGATTGCCTACTTTTTGCTAGGCACCACTTTTTCCAGGTTACCTTATCAAGAGGAAAATAATAACACTCTTCCTGTCCTCAACCTCTTGATACACAGATACAGTAGTCTCTACTCCTTTCAATTTAGTGTTTACTGTAAACTCAAAAAACAAGAAGGATGTCTTTCAGTTTTGGTGTCACCAGTACACTAAACCCAAGAGAAGTGTTCTCTTAGGCTGCTAGGTTAGGATTTTCAGAATCTGCAACTAATTTTGAGACTTGAGTGTCACAAAATTATATGAGATCTTCTACGGTTTACATTTTCCTGTCACCTTCATAGTGATTGTAGAAGGATAGTGTGGAATAATTAACACCCAGAGGTGTTATCAATAGTAACTGTAATAGTCCATATATCTAAGGTACCTAAGAACGCTTGTGGATTACAAAGGAAAACCAATTACATCACCACCACTGTCAGATACTACTGGGACTAAGAGTCTTAAAACCTCTTCTGGGGAGAATGTAAGCATCTCCATACCATCTCTTGTAGGGCAGCAGTTGAAATAAACTGTATGTAGGTGAGTCGGCTAGGGATCTGTGTACACCCCAATATTATCACAGATATGCTTGTCATGCCATTAACACCCCACAAAGTCAGTAACACAGCTTCGCGTGTGAATTAGCATTGTTATCCATGAAAAAGAGAGGAACAGAAGAAAATGACTGGAATCAGTCAGTCCTACCATAAACAGTGAGGGTGGCCGAACCCCTGGCTCACATGGTCGTCAACACACACCGCCCTCCTCTCCTGAAATAGTCAGCCTTGTACCTCACCAGTCCTCGTCACTTCTCTCACCAATATTATATATATATATATATATATATATATATATATATATATATATATATATAATATATATATATTATATATATATATATATAATCGGTGATACACACGTAACAACATGTAACCGTATATGCCACCTTTATATCAACAGTGTATCTCTTAAATCTTTTGTACCATATTATGTAATAAAATATTTTATATATAATATATATATATATATATATATATATATATATATATATATATATATATATATATATATAACATGTGCGGCGTCTGGTTGTCTTTGTTGTGGACGTTTCGCCATCCAGTGGCTGGCTGGATGTCGAAACGTCTACGATAGGGATCCCGGGTGTTGCGCATGTGTCTTAATTTCATCTTGTCGGTATTATATACCATTCTTGTACTACTACTACTACCATCACCTCTTCCTGCCTATAAAATAGCCGTCCTACTCCACTTCTGGTTAGTGCGACTTTGTCAATGGTCCAAGTCGGACCGAAACGTCGTCGTAAGCTTCTCTCTTTTATGTGCGGGTTTTTTTGTGTGTGATTATATATATATATATATATTATATATATATATATTTTATATATAATATATATATATATATATATATTATA